GATTTTTTTTTGTATTGGTTTGTCAAGTTCTTAAAGACAAAATTTTTATAGGAATTGAGTTTAACTTATAGACAAACCTGTAGATAATTGATGACTTTACAATGGTAAGTCATTCTATCAATAACTATATGGTATATTTCTCCTTCTATCCAGTTTTCCTTTATATCCTTTGAGCTGTGGACAAAAGTGCCATGTGTAACTTCAAGGATATGCCCTAAAAGAGAAGGAATATGCTTTGCTCCTCCTCTTTCCATCTTGCTGGATGGATTGTGGATGGGAATATTGAAATTGAAGTAGCTGGGGTGCCTGGATGTCTCAGGTGGTTAGGTTCTTGGTCTCAGCTCAGGTCTTGATCTCAGGGTCATGAGTTCAAGTCTCACATTGGGCTCCACCAACATGGAGCCTAGTTAAAAAAACAAAACAACAAGAAAAAGAAATTGAAGAAGCCATTTACAATCATGAAGTGACCTTGGGCTTAGAAACCATATATAGCAGAGCAACAAGTTAGAAGGGCTAGGATTCCTTCCCTGAGAAGTTCCATCCTGGGCATAGACACCTATTTCTGAACTTCTTTGGGAAAGAGAAATTAACCTCCAATTTATTTGAACCTCTGTTACTTCGGTTGTGCTGACATTCACAGTGACCACATAGTTATGCTCTACCCCAGTGGTTCTCAAAATGGGGTTCCTTAGAACAGGAACAGTAGCCACAGCATCACCTGGAAACTTATTAGAAATACCCATTCTTGGGACCCTCTACTGAATCAGAAGTGCTGGATGGGGCCCAGCAGTCTGCTTTAATGAGCCCTCCACATGATTGTGATGTATGCTAAAGTTTGAAAAGCTTTGTTCTATTTCTTTCCTAGGTCCAACACATCCAGTTAGATGTCCATGGGATGACTGCCTACTTTCTTCACGAGGCAGAACTCAGAAGTTATCCTGGAAGTGAAGGCTACAACACATAGATAGACTTTGTATAAGTTGAGTAGAAGGCAAGAGAAGGACGACTATTTTATTTATTCCAATTGAATAATATTTAATAAAATTCAATATTCCAATTGAATTTTATTTATTCCAATTGAATATTCAATTTTGTAGCAATTGCTATAATTGTTTCATGAATGGCTGATGGTTGCCCATGGCTTCCTCCTGCTGACTTGTTGAACTAGGCCAATTAAAAGACTTCATATTTGGCTCATAGGTGACCAATCCATGATTAGATTCATTTCAGGCCATTCTGATTCTAGATAATTAGAAGATTTACCTATTAATCTACGGCAATTTCCCCTTTCACCACACTACACAGCATTACAAGAATATTCTGGTCCTCTGGGCACATTAAGTGAGAGATAATTCCACACTTACTGTCAAGAATTCCCTAGGCATACCTTATGCCAAGTTTCTAATTCAAAAACTAATTTTTGAAAACTACTTTCTAAAAACCAGCTCACATCAAATTCAATTTCTTTTAAGTGTTTATTAATCTATTGAGATCTTCTATTCTTTTGCTATCTGTCTCAGCAAACTGATTTAAGTGAAAATGAGGGTTTATTGGCTCACAAAATAAATTCCCATAATATAGGCAATGGTAGCCTCAGGCATGGCTGGATCCAGAGAGAGGCCCAAAGGAATCCTCAAGATTTAGTCTCTCTCCTGGCACCTGTTAGATACACTTTCCTCTGTGTCAGCTCCATTCTTAGCTATTTCCATGTGGTGCCCACAGCAGCTCTGGTTTCATAGTCTTTATAACTGGCCATCCTAGTTATCCAAAACAGTACCAGAATGAAGACTCATTGCCCTGGCTTGTGTCATGTGCTCATCCCTGAACCATGTGCATAAAGTATTCTGATATTCCTCTAAGTGTTTGCACATCCTAGGCTGAGCCTGGATTAGGTCAATGCCCTGATCATCCAGCAGCAACCATTGTGCCTCCCTTTCATCTTTGTGAGGCTCTCAGGAATAAGGAGTAAGCAGGGCTTAGAAGAGCAGAACTGTATCTGAGGATTGGCAGGTGAAATATTTATGATCTCTACCAGAAATGTACAGATCCAGAAAATCCAGTGAATTGAAAAAACACAAAGAGACATGACATTATGAAATATAGAGAGAGGAAGGATAAGACTGAGGGGGAAAGATACTGAGGAACATAAACAGATAATTATAGCAAAAGACAAAATTATGGAGGATAGGCAGACAGACACAGAGAGATGAAAACCAATAAAGCAGGATCTGTAGATTAAATGGAAAGACAAGAATAGATTCTCCTTCTACCACCCAGTACACACACACACACGTGCGTGCGCACGCACACACAGAAACATTACCAGAGAGAAATAATAATTCAAAGAGCCCAAGAATAGGGATGCCTAGGTGGCTCAATTGGTAAGTGTCTGCCTTCAGCTCAGGTCATGATCTCAAACCCCGCATTGGGCTCCTGGCTCAGGGCGAAGTCTGCTTCTCCCTCTCCCTCTGCTCCTCTCCTTGCATGTGTTCTATCACATAAATAAAGTCTTTAAAAAAAAAGAGCCCAAGAATAACACATCTATTGGGTATGTATGATCTAGGATGGTTGCCTGAGAGATTCATTCAGGGATGGTGGGACAGGTGTTTCTAGAAAGTAGGATGTGAACCATGGTGAAGCCTGGTAGGATCATGTACTCATTCATTATACATCTGCTGGAACCACAAAAAGACAGCCACAACCTAATGAAAAGTTCAAAAACTAGAACAGACTCCCCCAGTGGTGTGCAAATGACCAAAAAGCATTGAAGATGCCCAACATTGTTTATCATGAAGGAAATGCAAATCATACTGCAGTGAAGTACCACTTCCCACACACTGAGTTGACTAGAATTTGAAAAAAAGAAAATAACAAGTGTCATCAAGATTGTAGAAAAATTGGATCCCTGTACATTGTTGGTGAGAATGTAAAATGGTGTAGATGCTAAATATTCATAGTGGCATCATTCACAGTAGCCAAAAGGCAATCCAAATGTCTATCAAAAAATGAATGGATAAACAAGAGCTGGTTTAGCCATACAATGACCAATCAGCTATAATAAGTAATGAAAAATACAGGACACCTGGGTGGCTCAGTCCGTTAAGTGTCCAACTCTTGATTTTGGCTCAGGCCATGATCTCAGGGTCACGAGACTGAGCCCCATGTTGGGCTTCACATTCATCGGGGAGTCTGCTTGAGATTCTCTCCCTCTGCTATGCCCCATGCCCCCACAATTCTCCCTCTAAAATAATAAGTCTTTAAGAAGTAATGAACTGCTGATGCAAGCTACAGTGTGGATGAACCTCAAAAACATATTAAAACCAGATACAAAAGATTTTATTTCATTTATATGAAAAGTCCACAATAGGTAAATATTTTGGAGATGGGCTGAAGATTGGTGGTAGACATTGACTGGAGGATGGGGTACTGGCAAGTGATGGCTGATGGGCACAGGGTTTTCATTTAGGACTATGAAAATGTTTTAGAACTCAATACAGATGATAGTGGTTGTTTGTGACAGCACTAAATGCCACTGAACTGTTAGTCTTACATTTATGGTTAATATTGTGGTTTATCTAAAAATGGTTATATGAATTTTACTTAAATTAGATCCATGTTTTATGCTATTCTATGTGATGGTCTGTCAGATGTGGTCACAAAAAGAATTGAAGCACAAGAAAACAAAATTTATTATACTCCAAGGTCTGAAAAAAGGGGAGGTCACTACATGTCACCCAGGGTCACAGGGGCAGCATCAGGTTTGTTCAGGAGGCAGAAGACAGGACTAAGAAAACAGTTTTTCCCTGACCATTGTTGGAGTGGGAAAGGGAAGGCAGGGTAGGGTAAACAGTTTGGGATTGGATGGTTTGAGTATTTCTGTGACCTCTAAGCTGTTGTGGAGCCCTCAGATGCCTAGTACCTGACTTGGATGATTAAAGCAGAAGACTATGGCTTTCTGGGGTACAGGACAAACAGAGGTATGGCCTTGCATTGGTTAGTCTACAGATGAAAGGCATGCTCTGGGATGAGTCCTTGCTATCTCTAAGAACTGGCTGGCCCCAGGAAGGGCCTCTCCCAATGCAGAAAGGGATATTTTTAAAGATGACATAATAGCATAATACACAGACCCTAAAATATATATACAATAACATATTGGAAAGGGAGAGAGAGGGAGAAGCAGAGAGAACCTACCAACGTAGGTTCTGGGAACAGCATTGAACCCAGAGTCCTTGCTCTCCTGGAGCTCACCCTCTAATGGGGGCAACAGAAAATAGAACATGAGGTAAGAGAAGCTTGAGAAGCTTGATGGAGACTTTGAAGACAGGAAAGCAGAGTCAGGTACCGGAACATACAGTAGGAGGTGGGGAAGCCATTTCCATGAGGTGGTCAAAGAAGGTCTCCCCGAGGAGAGAGCATGGAGCAGAGACACACGTGAGTGGAGGGGGAGCTCCATCTGGAAAGGCTACCTAAGGGGAGGAGACAGTGAGTACAAAGTGCTGAGATGGGAATGTGTGGGGGAGATTTGAAGAGCAGGCTGTCCAGGAGGGACATGGAGAGGGTGACATGGCCAGGGCCAGACCATGCAGGATTAGGAGTCCACAGGAGGGCTTTTGGAATTGTTCTATATTTAGTGAGAAGACCCTGAAGAATTAAGAGCATCAGGTGACACAACCTCCATGTTGCAGAACTACGGGGGCCCCATTTCCAGAGACCACACTGTGAAAGAGTCTCCCTGGAGTTGGCGGAGTTGGCCGCCCTGCAACCCCAACTCTCCTGCCCGTGGCAGTCATTGCTAATCATTTGCAGGCTCTGCTCATCCAGCCCGGGGTGCTCAGAATCCTTCTCCAGAAGGGACCCCACACAACCCCTGCCACTTCCTCAGAGCTGACTGTTCCATGCCCAGTATCTGCCATCATTTTCCCTGCCCCTTTGCTGACACGAGTACCTCCTGAAGCTCGACCGACAGAGATCAGGTGACACAGAGTTGGGAGCAGACCTGATCAGTTCTTTATTGGGAAGGGGATGCAGTCTGTAATCCGACATATCTGTGACCCCAAAAAAATCTCAAGTTCAAGTCCCAGATGGGTTGCCGTGAGGTCATAGCTGCCATGGAAAAAGCCACGGGTGTGGCAATTATGCCAGCGCCAATACACCTGGATGATGCGGACCGCGTGGAGCAACCGGCAGTATTGCTGGCGAGTGAGCCACATGCGGACCAAGGACTGCAGCTTGACCACTGCCCATTCTTGCTGTGCATAAAACTCTAGGGCTGCTCGTTTTCTCTTCTCCAGCAGCTTTGCCAGCATCACCTTCCACCAGTGCTGAATCATACATGCTCTGAGTGCTGCGTGCAGTAATGTCCTGCGCACCAGAGTGCCCCGCCACCAGGCCTGGATCTTTATGGCTTTCTGCTCTCGGTCAGGGAGCTTCTTTTTCTTTGGGGAGAGAGGTTACAAAGATAAAGAAGCGATTCTCACGGAATGTTCCGCACCCACCTCAGCTCCAGGGCAGGCCAAGAAGAGCTTCCTCAGAAGGTCAGGAGCACTGGGCGGGGAGCCAGTAGACCAGATAGGTGTCCTACCCCTGCCCCTCTCTGCTTAATGGACCTGGTCGCGTCACATTGTCCCCTGCATCTCAGGGTCCTCATCTATAAAATGGAGCATTCTGGCACTAGCTATCACACCATTACATGGACCTGGGTGGCCTGTCTGGAACAAGCTCACCGTGTACCATGTTCCACCTGGGCCTGGCCACCTACCTGGGCTTGCATATTCCTTCCCTTCCACCCCTCCCGGAGGCTGGAGAAGTGGCATCCTTTGTTTGCCTTTCCTGCTTGACTCCCGCTCAACCCCACAACCTGCTGTGTCCTTCCGTCAAGTCACAGTATTAGAAGTTTCCCTGCTCCACGCAGTATGGAGTCCTCATTTACTTCTCATTTTCACTTCTTTTGATTCTCACATCTTAAACTTCAGTTAGCATGCATATGCACACATGCACTCACACACACACACACACACACACACACACACACACACACACTTCTATACTCAGTTTTCCCTGTCCATGGCAATGCCTTCCCCAAACACAGCCTCACCGCTCCACTCCCTAGCTTAGCATGGTCTGATTCCCACTTGCCAGGGGTTCCCCTCCCTACAACCAAGTCTCTGTGCCTCAGTCACCCACCTTTCTCTGACCAAGAAGGAACTAGGAGGAGAGGAGAACCAAGGATGAGTTGGATCCCTATTCATTCCAGCCAGTCTGGATAGGGCAACCATTCATCTTGTTTGGCCTGGGACATTCTTGGTTTATGCTTATTGTTCCTGAGGAATCATTTATAGCACTAATTTTGCTCACAAATGGAACCTGGTTCAGATGCCAGATTCCAGGATCATGCCATGCTATGGGGCCCAGAGTCAGAGATGTTGTGAATAAGAGTCCCCCTCAACCTGAGGGCCTCCATTAACCTACCCTAGGCGGAGGGGGTGGAGTTGGAGTTGGAGGTGTGGATGGAGGCTCTGTTTTCTTTTTCTTTCTCTTCTCTTTCTCTTTCAGCAATGTGGTTTCATCAATCTCTTCTATTACGATTTCACAAAACTGGCCATCTTTCTGTAATCAGAGTTTAGAGGGGAAAGGAATCAGTAGGCGTTCTTTATACAGCTGTGTGCCAAGTCCACCACATACTCCACTTCCTGCCTGGCCCTGAATCCCTAGATGTAGAACCCATATCCTGAGTTAACTTTGTAAATCCACCTTCCCCTGCCTGCAACTGTGGGTGGCTCTCTTACACAACACCGAATGCCCATGAGTTGGATATAGGTGGTTCAAATCCCCTCAGGTCTGTAATTCCCCAAATTCCCCATGGTTAGGAGCTCAATGGTTCCATTGCTCCCAGGTCTGTACTCTCCCAGCCGTGGGCTGGCAGGAAGAGAGGAGGAGGAGACAGGGCTATGATGTCATAAGGGCACCTGTGACTCAGGCACCAGGATGCTTCCAGACAGTTGAGTTCTTTTTGGTGAAATGCAGAAGTCCTTGTCCACTCTTTTCCTCACAATTTGGCTTAAAAGGTAGTATGCTGAAAATACTGCCCATGGACACAAAAGTGTATAGAAACAGTCCTTTCAGGTTGGTTGATAAAAACATAAATTTGAGTCAATTTAAACATTTATTAATAGAAATTCAATTAGATGCATTTCTTTTCAAATAATGGAAACAAATACTGATTAGAAAGAATGAGTTTGCAACAAAATCTTAAATAAGGTCTTCACTAAAGATTTATGAATGCCTAGGAAGCACAGGAAGAGATCCCCAACATCATCAGTCATGAGGGAAAGGAAAATCAGAACCACAATACGATACCCCTGGACACCTTAGAGAATGTCTGACATAAAAAATACTGACAACACCAAATATTGGCAAAGACATACAACAGCTGGATCTCTTCTAACACTGCTGGTCAGAAAGTAAGAAACAAACACTTTGGAAAGTGGTTTGGCAGTTCCTAATGAAGTTCAGCATATATTCACCCTATAACTCAGCAGTTCTATGCCTAGATATTTACATAAGAGAAATGAAAACACATGACGGCAAAAAAGTTGTGCATGTTGGGACGCCTGGGTGACTCAGCGGTTGAGCATCTGCCTTCAGCTTAGAGCGTGATCCCAGGTCCTGGGATAAAGTCCCGCATCAGGCTCCCTGCATGGAGCCTAGTGCTTCTCCCTCTGCCTGTGTCTCTGCCTCTCTCTCTCTGTGTCTCTCATGAATAAATAAATAAAATCTTTTTTTTTAAAGTTGTGCATGCATGTTCATAGCAACTTCATTCAAAGAGATCCACATTGGAAATAAATCAAATGTTTACCAACAGGTGATTAGGCAAAGAAATTGTGGTATATTCATTGAATGAGCTAATACACAGTAATAAAAATGGACAAATGACTGACACCCACAATAACATAGGTGAACCTCAAAAACATGCTAAATGAAAGCAACCACACATCAAAAAGCATTATAGGATGATTCCACTTATATAAAGTTAGAAAATAGGCAAAACAAAACTATAGGTAAAATAGTTCATAAACGGGATAAGGTCTGAGAGGTACTGCCAACTAACAGCACAAAGGGAAATTTGCTATATCTTATTTTGAGTGGTGGTTACCAGGGAATACAGAATTACAAAAACTCATTAAATGTCATTAATAAGCACTTGAGGAAGCCACAAAGAAGGGATATATGGAGACAAGGAGGCTATTTAAGGTTGGAGGGTGTTAGTGGGAAGTTAACAGGGTGAGTGGGTGGGGGAGACAGGAGTTGGCTGGAAGATGGGGGACAAGGTGGTTGGGACACATGAAACAGAGAAGGCATGGAAGCATCTGGAGACATTGGTGTTGGACAATCCCCAAATGCCAGGCCTGCATCTGGATTTCTTTCTTTAGATCATAGCCCAGAATTTTTTTTTACTATATTGTTACTTTTTATTTTATTCAAGCAGAAATTAAAAAAATATTTTGATCAGCTTTTCCAGTTAATATCAGCAAAAGGATTAATCCTAATTACTTAGCACCCTATTATCCCAAATGGAAGTCTCTCCCAGATTATATGTGGTTTTTTTTAAAAGCTGAAGTCCAGTTGACACACACGGTTACACTCTTTTCAGGTGTACAACATAGTGATTTGACAAGCTTAACCCCTGCTACATTTTTATGCAACACTTTGTTTTCAACTTTTCATCACATTTTGTTAAAAAAAAAATACAGGCGTCTTCCCCCAGCATTCTTATATTTATTCAAACTCAAAAATCAAAATGTGATTCTTGTACCACTATGGTAAACAAAGCACATACAATCATGGGCAGACCACAGGTAACGGCAAAGAGCAAACTCCCAGGAAACCCTCTAGAACAACAGTCACCCGTAAAGAATTCTGAAGGCCAAGAGCTTCTAACGAAGGAACGTGTTAAGGCCACACTTCCTTTCCCAGACCAGAGGCAGAGCTCGGTGCAGACAGCCCCGGAACCCGGCTCTAGGCCACTCTCAGCTCAGTCCGTGGTGCAATCTCTGGATTGCAGCGCCTTGTGGTTTCACACCATCCTCCCACCAGACAGTGCTGGGAAGCTTGGTTTCTGTGTGTGCGCTCCGGGAAAGGTGCCGGCACCACAGGCTCCCGAGGCAGCGCATCAGCGCAGGAGGGGAAAGCCACAGGACCGTGGGTGGGAGAGAGACAGAACCAGCTCGCAGAGAATATACTTGGGGTAACATGATTTTTCTCTTTTTTTAAAACAGTATTAAATTCAGACGCACACGGGAACACAGAAACAGTAATCCATTATGTTTTATTATTAATACATCTTGGGTTCTTACTCTGCCCTTTTACCAAGGGTATTGATGTTTTGGAAAAAAATCTAAACAACTGACCTATCAATCAACATAATTCTGCAGAATCTTTCCGAAATCACCCAGAGAAGAATCTGAAATGGTGTTCACTGGTCCCAGTGTACGGAGTCTCTGTGCCTTCCCAGAATTCTAGAAATATCCAGTGCAGCCATATCCTGAGGGGATCAATGCAAAATGTTCAGCAGGTTTCCCCACATATCTCAGACAGCTTTCACCATTTATGTGAAATAATCCCCTTCACCTTACAGAAGAGATCCGCTTCAGATTCGGTATCTAGAGATGGAAAGTCCAGGGTGTGGGGCAAAGGCACCGGACAGTCAGTGAGCCCCAGGGAAAGCAGCCTCTGGAGAGAGAAGCTCCGAGGCAGGGCTGCTGGGCTGGGCTTTAGCAGCCCCATTACCCATCTCTGGAGGGCCAGGGTCAATGCTATCCTGGTCCCACCGGGCTAGGAGTAGATGCATGAAAAAAAATCTCGTGGTGATCTTTCCTCTTTAGAATAGCATCTGGGTCATCACCACCGCTGAGGACCTCCCCATCCCCTCCTTGGTCAGCTCAAAGCACCTGTGGGTGACCTGCTGCTACCTGGCCTCCTCGCTCATCATCAGCAACCTGTGGAGGTATATGCCCCTGGCCTGATCCTCCTGGAAGAATCTTTTCACATCTTTGTATGTTTTTGTGTATTTGTGCTTAACAAGGAGCTCACACCACTGATGGTGAACGGCTGCATCCTACTGGGGGAGGTGGTCTGTCGTCTTGAGGCTTTGCAGAGTTCAGGAGTGCAGAGTCTTTTGCTGCAGGAGATGCTCCAGAAGCAAGACAAGCTGCTCTGGGGGGAACTTTTCAAACATATCCTCAGTCTCCCTTTGTTTCTGTTTTCAGGGTCTCCGGTCACTCCTATTCATTTCTCGACTTCAGTGCTCATTTGCCATGTGAGCCTACACTCTGCAATGGCTCACACCCCAACCCCTGCCCCCATCAAGGTGAGGGGGGAGCAGGCCCAGATGGCAGGAGAGTAGGGGGTTCATGGGGCCCCCAACACCTAAGGTGCAGTGCAGGAGGCCGGTGGCAGGGGTGACAAGATATAAGTGTCTTTTGATCCAGCAAGAAAGTCTGTTTTTTATTTTTTTTTTATTTTTATTTTTTTAAATTTTTATTTATTTATGATAGTCACACACAGAGAGAGAGAGAGAGAGGCAGAGACACAGGCAGAGGGAGAAGCAGGCTCCATGCACCGGGCGCCCGACGTGGGACTCGATCCCGGGTCTCCAGGATCGCGCCCTGGGCCAAAGGCAGGCGCCAAACCGCTGCGCCACCCAGGGATCCCCAGAAAGTCTGTTTTTTAATAGATGAATACTGCAAATTCACATTTATCATGATTTCTAAT